CTACTGATGTTGCAGAGAATTAAGCACACATGGGCATTTCAACGGCAGGTCACGATGTAGCAACTGGCGTGTAACTTACCTCCACTTCAAACAGCTACGAAATGGATGAAACAGAGGAGGCAGATGTTTTCAGACACCGAAAGACAGGCAAAGGGAGACCTGATTTCCCAGGAAAAGCTGTGTGTGATGAGTTCCACGGTCATCCCACCTCACCTGTGCAGGTGACTCGCAGCTGCAACATGGAGCCTCAGCAGAGGAGTGCTCTCTCTGAGCTTAGCACAGACTGGCAGTTTGGCTATAGGGAACAGGCTATGAGGCAGAGTATCTTAGAAATCGGGGTGGCAGAGAAGAACAGGGTCCTGCAGTGTGCTTGGTGCTGGGGTGGGGGATGGGGGCACTGTTTGTGGCTGAGAACGGAGCAGTGCACACACAGGACAAGACGCCCCCAGACCTGGCAAAGGTCACCTGCTGCCGGGCTGAAGGCTGTGTTTACACAGAACTCAGCAGGGTGGAGACACCTGAGGGATTTCCAGCTGGATCCCTGGAAAGCTGTTGGCTTAGGATGAAGGAGCCAGTTCTAGGGCTGGGCCAGCTCTGAAACTATGCTCCAAACAAGACAGACCCAGTCTCACATAACTACTACTGCTGTTCTAAAGCGCCCTCCATCCATGGGCCAAAATAAAGCACAAATTGGTTCTTCTGTTAGATTTACTATTGGTGAAATTATAAAGGCCACTCCATGTAGTTAAAAGTGAGGTTTATTTTGTGGGGTAACTTACAAGTGAAGGGATAGGTTACAGGGTCTGGGAAAGGTGCAGTCTGGCAGTGTTCTCTGGAAAACTCTGCTCAGTCTGCCTTCAGCGTTCATGGTCCAGGAACCAAGAGAGCGGGCATATTCGGATCTCTGGTCTTCAGCGTCCTCTCTCAGCCCCGCCTTGTAGGCGTGACCATTACCAAAGCCTCAGTGGGGGTTGGAACTTCCAGGTCAAAGCTGGAATGGCTACCCACTACAATTTACTGCTCAATATTCAAGTCTATCTCCCTCAACATTAAATGCTTAACCGTAAGATCCACCATTTACGTGTTTTAGCACTGGAGAACCTTTTATAACGGCAAGGACCTGGCTCAGAGCATCACTAAGCTTGTTGACTGCTTTATATTCTGCGCTGGAAGGCATGTTTTGAAGTCATGCATGACACTATGAAGAGGTAAAAGCAGTGCAACGTGACTGAATAATTTGACAAATATTCTATATGCAATTAAAAAACACGGCAATCCCTTCCTCAGAATCTGGATTTCTTTTTTTTTTTAATTTTCATTTTCTTTTTTTTCTTTTTTTATTATTTTATTTTATTTTACAATACTATTCAGTTCTACATAACAGCCACAGATTCCCTTGTTCTCCCCCTTCCTGCCCCCCTTCCCGTCCCCCCAGCCCACCCCCCGAATCTGGATTTCTATCTCTCATATAATCTATTTTTAAAGGGAAGGAAGGAAAGAAAGGGAGAGAGGTGGTGGCGGGGAGTATAATTGGGTTTGGGTATTTTAATATCTGGGTTTTTAATCTCTTAGGATTGTGACGTTCTGGATTTTTAGCCTTTAGAGATTTTGATGCTTCGTTATTTCAAGATTCAAGATTCTGCCATTTATAATTATAGTTTTTCAAGACATGATTGACACTGAAAATATTCAAAGGAAGACAAAATAAGGGGAAACGGAATGAGTAAAAGTCAGGGCGGATAAAAAACAAATAGTAAGAAGGTAGATTGGGGCTGGAGAGGTGGCTCAGCAGTTAAGAGCCTAACTGCTCGTCCATCCATGCCAAGCAGCTCACAGCCACCTGTAACCACAGCTCTAGGGGAATCCAGGGCCCTCCTCCTGCCTCCTCTGGTACTTGAACTCACTTGCACACACACACACACACACACACACACACACACACACACACACCTCACATAATTAAAACAGAATATAAAATTTTTTTAAAAGATGGTAGACTTTAATCATGCCAATAATTATACTAAATATAAATGATCTAAATATACCAGTTTAGAGACAGTGATTGTTAGACTGAAAAAAAAGCAACATTCATCAATATGTTATCTATATAACATCAATATGTTATCTATTATATATATATCACAATCAATATAAAAATACAAGAAGGTCAAAGACAAAACAAAAGAAAAGGATATACTATAAAAAGCACTGATCACAATAAAGCTATAGTGGTTTTATTATGGTGTTATCATATAGTTTGATATGGAATTTAGACAATTGTAGATATTAGGACAATGGCAATAAAGATATAGGCATCTTAAATTTACATACACATAATAATAGAGCCTTAAAATACACTAGACAAAACTGACATATTCAAGAAAAAGAGATTAAATTTAACATCTATTCCTCAGTAATTGGCAGACTGAGAAGAGAGAAAAATCAGTAACGGTATCAGAAAATAGATTGTTATGACCAAATTGGCATTTATAGAATATAATACATAGTAACAGGACTCTACATTATTTCATATACATATAACACTTACAAGATATCCCATTATTACCGAATTATATAGAATGTATTTTTTTACCACAGTAAAAATAAACTATCTGGGTGGTAATGGCACACGCCTTTAATCCCAGCACTTGGGAGGCAGAGGCAGGCATGGATCTCTGAGTTTGAGGCCAGCCTAGTCTACAGAGTAAATTCTAGAACAAGCCAGGGCTACACAAAGAAACCCTGTCTCAATAGTAGTAGGAGTAGTAAGAGTAGGAGTAAAAATTTTAAATAAAAAATAAACTAGAAACCAAAGCCAAAAAGTTAACTGGAAATTTACAAATATTCGAGAATTAATTTTTTTCTTCCTGCCTCCTCCTCTTCCTCCTTCTCTTCTTCTTCTTTTTTTTTTTTTTTAAAAAAAAAAAAAAACAGTATCATGACTACAACTCACTAAGTAGGCCAGGTTGTCTTTGAACTCACAGTGGTTCTCCTGACTCTGACTCCTGAGTGCTAAGGATTGTAGGCATGTACCACCACACTCAGTTGAGAATTAAGCAATTTATTTCTAATTAATTTAAGAAATATGAATTCCCAGGTGTTGTGGTAAAGGACTTCAATCCCAACACTAGGAAGGCAGGTGGACCCCATATAAGTTCAAGACCAGCCTGGTCTACATAGCAAGTTCCAGGCCAATCAAGGCTGCAAAGTGAGACCCTGTCTAAAAACATAGCAGAAAACAAATCAGAAGAAATGAAAGCATTTCAGTGGAAGTAATAGCAAAAATACATTGTATCAAAATGTGTGAGACCCAATTTCACTCAGAACTCACAGTGACCAGATGTACCACTTTTGCTGAAACAGCTAAATGACAGATGAAATCTATCAAAGAGCAGCATTGAAGACATTGGGTGGTAGGCAGTGAGGGACAGAAGGGAGTCAGGTAAAAATGACATCAGTCCTACAATTGTTTCGGCTTGTGCCCAGGGTGAGTTTCTAAGCTGTGGCACAGAAGATGAAAACCAAGGTGGAGTCAGTGGTCTCCTGGAGGTCCCGAGGCAGAACACCTGAGACGTGAGAGTTCAGCTCTGTGGATTCTCAGGGCCTCCATGAAGCTTTAGCTGAATGTTGACAACTGTGTGCATGTCACACATATACTAAAGTTGGGGAAGAATCACTCAAAAGAATTTGTGGAAACTGAGCCTAGAGATCACACCAGGAGTAACACCTGCTTCCAAAAGTTAGAGGAAAAGTCTCTTATTAATTAGAATAAATCGGGCCCTTGTTATTGTGACCAGACATGAAAAAATATTATAGGAGTACAAAACTCACCCAGTCAACAAGAGAAAATTCAAAATGTCTATCATTTATAAGATATTACCAAGCATGAAAGATGCTGAAAAACATGGCCTGTGATGAAAACAGAGAATGGATGAAAACTGACCCAGAAATGATGTAGTCCTAACAAACATTAAAAGAGATATAAATATATTATATGCTTTCAAGAAACCAGAGGAGAAATGTTGTAGTCTGAAGTTTTCCTATGTCCTGCCTGGTCCCACAGCTGCTTGGAACCAAGTAAACACACAGAGGCTTATATTACTTACAAACTATATGGCCTCTAGCTATGAATTCTTGTGAGCTAGCTCTTACCACTTAACTCAGCCCATTTCTATTAATCTATTTTTATTGCTATGTGACTGTGGCATTACCAGTCTGCTGACATATTGTTGCTCCTTGGGCAGCAGGCTGGTGTCTCCTCTGCCTCTGCCTATCTTCTTCCTGTCTCTCCCTTGGATTTCCTGCCTGGCTGTAACCTGACTTGCCATGGGCCAGAGCAGCTTCTTTATTAACCAGTCATAGCAACACATATTCACAGTGTACAGAAAGACATCCCACAGCAAAATGAAACATGTTAAATGGAGAGAAGGGATACATAAAACCAAGACTCAAACTGAAATGGAAAAACTCAGTGGATGAGACTAGCAGTAGTTTAGACAGTATAGAAGATGAACTTGGTGAACTTAAAGTCAGAGCAGCAAAAATTACAGAAAATGAAAGACCTGAAGAAAACTGGTTGGGGGAGAATGAAGAAAAAACATGTACATATACAGGTTAGACCTTGAGCGTAGGAGAGGGACTGGCACATACCTGCTTCTCAAAGCATTTTATGTAATCGACAATTCCTGATACCAAAAGGGACACCGACATTACGGGAAAGAAAACTGTATACCAACCACCTCAGGAAATTAGATATAAAAAATCCCTAATAAAACAATATGGTATGCAAGCCCTTACAAAAGGGCTTATTGACTTATGGTTCAAGGGTATAGTCCATCCTGTCATGGCAGAGAAAACATGGCTGCCAGAGCTTGAGACAGCTGCTTTAGGTCTGTGGCCTACTTTACATTGATTTTGTTGTTTTGTTTTTTGAGACAGGGTTTCTCCGTATAGCCCTGGCTGTCCTGGAATTCATTCTATAGATCAGACTGGTCTTAAACTCAGAGATCTGCCTGCCTCTGCCTCTTGAGTGCTGAGACTAAAGGCATGTAGCATCACACTTGGCTGCTTAAATTGATTTTTGTACAAGGTGTATGTGTGTGTGTGTGTGTGGGGGGGGGGTGTCTAATATTAATCTGGGGGGGGTACTCAGTTTCCCCAGTACTATTTGTTGAGGAGGCTTTCTTTTCTTTTATCTATATTTTCTTTGTTTCTTTCTTTGACAACAATCAAACAGCTGCAGCTGTATGGGTTTGTTTCTGGGTCCTCTACTCTGTTGCAAAGGTCTACCTGGCTGCTTTATACCACTTATTGCTTCCTTTGTTATGATGACTCTTTTGTGTGTCCTAAAGCCTGGAGCTGGGATGCCTAGAGCATCATCTACCTGCTCAGAATTGCTTTGGTTATCTGAGGTCTTTTGTGGCTCCACATAAATTTTGAGATTTTTTGAAGTTCTGTAAAGAACACTATTTGTGTTTTACAGGGATTACATTGAACTCATGGATCATGTTGGGATGTATGACTGTTCGTACCATGTTAATATCATTAATGAGTGCAGTCTTTCTACCTTTAACTCTCATCTTAAATTTCTTTCTTCAGTGTTTTATATATATATATATATATATATATATATATATATATATATATATATATAT